TCTCTCTCGCTATATCTCTCTCGCTATATCTCTCTAGCTATCTCTCTCTCGCTATCTCTCTATCTTTCTTTCGCTATCTCTCTATATTTCTCTCGCTATATCTCTCTCGCTATCTCTCTCTCTCGATATCTCTCTAGCTATCTCTCTCTCGCTATCTCTCTCTCGCTATCTCTCGCTATATCTCTCTCGCTATCTCTCTCTCGCTATCTCTATTTCGCTATCACTCTTTCTTTCTCTCGCTATCTCTCTATCTTTCTCTCGCTATCTCTCTATCTTTCTCTCGCTCCCTCTCTATCTTTCTCTCGCTATCTCTCTCTCGCTATCTCTCTCTCTCTCGCTATCTCTCTCTCGCTATCTCTCTCTCGCTATCACTCTATCTTTCTCTCGCTATCACTCTATCTCTCTCTCGCTATCACTCTATCTTTCTCTCGCTATCACTCTATCTTTCTCTCGCTATCACTCTATCTATCTCTCGCTATCTCTCTATCTTTCTCTCGCTGTCTCTCTATCTTTCTCTTGCTATCTCTCTATCTTTCTCTCGCTATCTCTCTATCTTTCTCTCGCTATCTCTCTCGCTATCTTTCTCTCGCTATCTCTCTCTCGCTATCTCTCTCTCGCTATCTCCCTCTCTTTATCTCTCTCTCTCTATCTCTCTCTCGCTATCTCTCTCTCGCTCTCTCTCAAGAAAAACATACCCGAGCCACATCATTTTCCAGCAGATCTTCGCTGCGCAGTCGCGAGTACTCGTCGGAAATGATCTCCGACGCCTCCTCGGTCAATTTCGGCTTGAGTATTTTGACGAAGTAGATGTACTTGCGCATGAACTCGACGCTGAGTATCTTGTCGGTCTTTTTGCGGCTGGCGCCGTGTAAGAGGCTGTCGTATTTCTCGTAGACGGGTGTCACTTTGTCGTCGAGATCTTCATCGGGATTGGCGGTACTCAACATGTCCACCTTGGAGCCCATCGGCAGGACTTCGCCGTCTTGTTCCAAAGGGTTTCTGCAAGGAATTATCTAAATAACAATTCAAATAACAATTCATTCCTGAATCATTAGAAAGTATACGCCAACAATCCCAAACGACAAACACGGATAAATGAATGAAATCGCGAATGGTGGGGATAAAAATATTAGTAATGATAATGATAAAAGTCTTTATTAACCACGATTCGACAAATATTAATGAATAATATAAAAGATAGGGCGAGGTTCAATTCATTCTAGAATCCTGAAAGGGGTCTAGAATGTCTGTTCGTCCACCTAGAGTTCCTAAATGTACTTGACACTGCTGTTTTGACGTTTGACAATCAGACATAACCACAAATAAATAGATGGAAAAAACGGGAAATCAATTCACTCTATTCGAATTTCCATGGGATAACGTAATTCTACAAAAATGTAAACAGAATATGATGCGGTCGGCATGGAATATAGGTTCAGGCCACAAAATTTGCGAGGTATTCAAATTTCTTGGTAAGATCTAGAACATTTTTCAAGGTATCAGGTACACTTCAGAACGGAAGATTTGATGTTGAAGAATAGGATCGTATTGAGAGAAAGAGCCGAACCCACAATTTATAAACTGAGCTCATAGTGGATTTTGAACCACTTCTTGGGTACCAAGATACGAGCAAGATATTATCAGAGCACATAACAAGAACGCTTAACGAGTGCACCATTTATGTTAGGTATTAAAAATGATCTTTCGATGGCCGGGTTCAAACCAACAATCCCCTTTAGCAAGTGAGTCGAGCGCTGAAGTCCATTTATACCTACTTCCGTATGTCTTGGAGAACCTTTTATTATTTATCCTAACTGAAATCAGCTGTTATTGTTGCCATATCATTCGTTCATTTATTAATTACTTATTACCTACCACTCTTTTACAAGTGAAATTGTTCCATAGGAAATAAAAGTACCTATGTTTCATCGGTTGGAATTCATAAGTTTTTACCCCATTCTGAATTTTGTGATAAAAAATATTCAACTGAACGTATATATACCTATATACCTACATATAAGATACTTATTTCATAGGAATAGTATATGTGTTTCGTTGGTATATATGTACATACCAACTTGATATCGACCTCCATTGAGGTCTTCAGCCTTATCATTCAATATTTCGGGAATATTTCGCGTATCAAAACAGGCCGTATCACATTACACTATTCAATTTCTTTGAACTTGGACTATCAGAAGCAACGTTTTTTCAATATTTACCTGTATCGGTGCATCCTAACCACGTGATCCGCTATCTTCAGATCGTTGTCCTCGTCTATGGCGTCTAGCATGACGAAAAGACAGTCGAAACGGGACAAAAGCGAATCTTGAAGACCTATATTTTCCATAGGCGTTTTGTACTGATCATACTGAAAATTCAAAACGTATGTGAAGAAGGCCAAGGAGTTATGGAACAAAAACTGACCTTTCCGTAGACAGGATTGGCTGCCGCCAGTACAGAACACCTGGCATTTAAGCTCGCGTGTATGCCAGCTTTCGCGATGGTCACTCTTCCTTGTTCCATGACCTCGTGTATAGCCGTTCTGTCAATGTCACTCATCTTGTCGAATTCATCGATGCAAACCACGCCTAGGAAACAAAATAAAAAGCATATCTCTCCTCTTCCATGGATCAAACCAAGGTGGATAGACTATGGTGTAATCGTAGACAGTGTTTTGTTTCTCCCAAAACGCTTGACCGCAGATTCCGCAATAATTACATATTAGTTCTCAGTTGTCCGCAAGATGGCGACACTTTTTACAGAATTCTTCCATGACAGAAAACAGTGCTTACAGCCAGCTTGCACCAGATATAATATCATAACATTCATAACATGACCTCAAATCAAATGAGATTAAATTTGAAAGTACGAAACTGTAATTTTGGTGAATTTTAATCATCACCTGTTTTGCCATCTTCTGTTCATCTTGGATTTAACAAAAGTCCTAATTAACTGTCGCATGAATGAATATGTGTGCGTCGACAAGCTACAGAAATATATGGTGCCACTTAAAAAAAAAAGTTCCGATCAAACATGTGGTTGAAGAAAATTGTCATTGGGTTCAAGGGAAGCGCCTTCACAGTCACCTGGTGTGTGAAGATAATGTAAAACCTTGTGCCTATTTTTTTTTTCATTACCTCTGTCGGCTAGGACCATGGCGCCAGCTTCCAATCTCCTTTCACCGGTTTCTTGATCTGTAGTGACAGCGGCTGTCAAACCTACCCCCGAAGAGCCTCTGCCAGTGGTGGGGATAGCTCTTGGGGCAGTACACAACACGTACCTGGACAAAAAAGTGTCCACTGATTCCTAATTACAATAAATCGCCAACAAGACTTGGAAAAATACAGGGTGAGTCATTAGGAACTGTACATACTCCTAACACGAATAAATGCCCTTGGGGAAATACCTAATGACCATCAGAAAATGTCTTCTAAGACGATATTCGGTAGATCTGCATATTTCAATGAATTCTACCTCTTAAAAAAATGCCTCATCCTTCGAGAATGCCGTGATATAAAGCTGTCAGTAGACAACATTTGTGGTATAGTGATATTCATATTCACTAAACCATCATCATCATCATCATCATCATCTGTATTATTCCCAAGAAAAAATGTACATGTTTATAATAGGGAACAAAAAAAAGCATTGTACATTTAAAATACACTAGGTCGAATAATAATTCTTCTTCTTCTTCGATAAGTTCAAAGATAACTGAGACACGGGGGGTGCCTGAATAAAAATGATATTTTTCAATTCCACCCTGTATCTCGACAACCGGAAGAGCTATCACTATCTGCCTGCGCCATTATTAATTTCCTAAAAAGTAGCACACTGTCGCGAAAACCACAATGCTCTATCTTTACTGATAAGGGAGATACCCCGCAAAAGTGCCCAAATTGGGATACCCTGTACAGTTCATGACATTCTGTTGAAAAAATCCCTCTCCTTCAAAAATAAAAGCGGGATTTCAAAATGTTCTTCCACACTTCAGAAGCATACACCATTCATTTCAAGGTGGCCAAAAATGAAATAATCAGATTTTCGAATGATTTACCTGAGCAACTGCGACTTGGCAACACTGGGATCCCCGATGAGCAAAATATTGATGTCCCCCCTGAGCCGAGTCCCGTTCGGCAGCACTTTCTCCATACCTCCCAGCAGAAGACACAAAATGGCCTTCTTGATGTACTCATGGCCATGGATAGAAGGAGCCAGAGACTTTGCCAGGAGGTTGAAAATACTCTTGTTGGACCTGGCTAGCTGTTTGCAACGTTGCACGTCCTCTCTGGAAATACGGGGACTCGCTTCCTTGCTCAACTGCGAGATATTGTTGGCGATCACGACAGTCCTGGTAGTGGAAATAAGACACTTTTGTTTTCTGACCAATCGGGTGCTTTTATTTTGAATGGTTACCATGACAAATAACGAATTTCTGTCTTCTTCGGGGTTGCGTGCAAAAACTGTCAGATGACCGACCCTAGAGTTGAAACATTGAAACACAACCTCACTTTTCTTAGAATAGAATAGTTTATTCATCCAAAAGACCATTATAAAATGATATAGGAAGAGTCAATTTACAAAATGATTACATGTATAGTGGTAAATATAGACATTCATGAATATTACAAAACAAAGTATGTATAACAGATGATTACAGACATTTACATTACTAAACTGAAATGAAAATATACATATAAATATATAAAACTAGGAATACATTGAATCAAATTATATATCTGAGGATTGTGTACATGGTTTGAAGTTGATGAAGTCGTCACACGAGTAGAAACCTTGACTGCTGAGAAAGTCTTTCGTTTTCTGTTTCACTTTATTCGCATATGGCAGCGACTTGATCTCAATGGGCTGACCCTATATAAATCCCAGCGAGCACAAACACCCCTGGGATGTTTTGGGATGTTTTGAAAATGTTGGCATGAAGATGTTATTTTGAGACGTAATATGCACTGACCAAAGAGGTCTTTGAAGGATATTGAAGTATTGTTTTTGTTCTTCTGTGGCATTTCTTTGTTTGCCTACTGAGAGGTATCCCTGGGATGTTTAGGGATGTTTTAGAAATGTAGGCATGAGGATGTTTTTTTGAGGCGTAATATGCACTTCCCAAAGAGGTCTTAGAAGGATATTGATAGTATTGTTTTTGTTCTTTTGTGCCCTTTCTTCGTTTGCCCCACCACAACGTCTCATGCTTACGTCACAATACGATGAATTCTGATTTGTTTTCGATTTTGTTCTTCTTGTTCGCAATTGGCATTCGCGTTTGCAGCGTGTCACGCTTAAATCACGCTGCTAACGAAAAGAAAGGAATTTGGTGAAGTTTATTGTGTTAGAAGACTTATTTAGTTTGTAATGATGACCATCAGATGCAAGATGTGTTGTTCGGTGCCTCAGTGTAATCAATATATAAAAGTACGAATTTATCAATACACAGCTTCTCCGCAGTTGCAAACCCCAGTAGCACACAATCTTGGCTGGGCATTGGCCCTATATTGGCCCAATATTGCCAATATCGGGCCAATATAGAACCAATATCCAGCCAAGATTCGTGCTACTGGGGAAATTATGCATTGTAGAGAACATTTCAAAAATTGGGAAACCTATTTCCAATTATATGTCTGTGTGTAGTAAGCACTACTCAGAAACCGATTAAGAAGGTAATTTCATATCAAGAAAATATTTTTATGTTCAATCTATTTTTAATGCATTTTTTCATTCAAGGGAAATGGAATCCTAATGCAAAAGTTCATTTTGACAATAGGCTTCAGAAAAGTACCTCGAAAATGGTTTTTTACAGCGATTTAATGTGCGCAAGACGCGTTGAAAATGTTTAGTTGTGTCCATGAAAAGGCGTTAAGAAGAACTAGGGAGAAGGTAGTTTTGTGACATATCAAGGACATCTCGATAATTGCCGCCTGCGGCGGACATTGGCTGTTCTATAATAGTTCTATTCATGTGTGAACAGAACATCGCAGTGGAGGTTCAATGTCTCGAAAGCTCGTACTTTTAACATCTCTGAGATGTTTTTGTGCTCGCTGGGATGGGTGACTTTTCGAAAAGTTTCGTTTTGTGCTTGATCATTTTCAGTAGCTTTCCATTTCTCGTAGGATATCTGTGTTGTTCACCATTAGTTACAACTGAAGCTTGATGCATTTTTATAAAAGTAATCAAGCTGTGGATGTTTATACATGGTAAAGTGAGTACTCTGTTATTTTTTATTTGTGTCTTTGTTTACAAATGATTAAAATAGGTTTTCACAATTATTTTGGCATACGAATCGTGTTTTTCGGCTATTTATTAACTCGCGCATGCCATCACATTGTGCTGTTGTACAATGCACAAAAAATGAAGCGAGAGACGAAGGAATCCGGTTGGTACATTATGTTATACACACAGTATATAACATAAGCGGACGGCGGTTGGTGATTACGAGTAAATATGATGAATCACGGAATGCAGAACGGTTGAAGATAGGAGATTAGTAATTAGTCAGTATATTACAGTCAGCCAAGTGACAAGGTTGTGAGGTGTTGGGGTCATTAAAGGTGGTGTTGTGATTGATTTGAAAGTAACTACTTACTATAGTCACTTACATATAGTAATTTCTCTGATTTCTCATCGGAATTCCTTCTGCAATAGGAGCTAATAGAAATACTCGTGAAATTTCTAGAAGAATGCAAGATTGGATTCATGCAATCGAACCGGAGGATTTGCCTGACATGCTGAAGAAACATCATCGTGTGTGTTGTAGATATTTTCAATCTATTAGCAGTATTAGCTTCTATTGCAGAAGTGGCAGAAGGAATTTTAATAAGGAATGACAACATTTCATAATGAAAACTATGTGAAATTAGGTACTATCTACCTGAAAAATCATATTCCTTCGTCTCTCGCTGCATTTTTGTGTATTGTACAATAGCACATTGAGAAGGCATGCTTAAATTAATGAATAGCGCAAAAAACACGATTCGTATGCCAAAATATTGTGAAAAACTATTTCAATCCTTTGAATCCTCTGTAAACAAATAAAAAGAGTGAGGTTGTGTTTCAATATTTTACCTCCAGGGTCGGTCATCGTGCACGTGACCTATTAGGAAGTTAGATTAATCTACACGAAACTGATCGCTAATTACTACTATTAACGATCAATTCGTTTATTAACCTCTATTATTTATATTAATAAGATTAACCACCTCCATGTAAAATATTGAAGCCAGATTCCGACTTAATTCTTGGCTCCCGGTCCATCTATGTGCAAGTTGATGAATTACCTACGAATACCCTTCTTTCTGGAGCAGGAAAATCACCAAATTTGATGTTCTGAATGTGTCATTCCTTCTTGCATAAAAAATCTAAACAATTAACTTCCACTATATCCTTCATTACCGATCTCTACCCTTGGCTATACACAACAAAAAGTAGTTCAGCTTGTCGCTCATAGATACCGCCATCTAATAGAGTTTCTGGCTACATTGCTCTGATAAGGATGGTTCGTCTTGATTTATGCAAGAAGTTGAACCTCTTGTTAGACATGATTAATTGTATGCAGAGAAATTAAAACTAAACTTGAACTATCAAGTTGGACAACTTTCAAGTTTCTAGTGTAAATGTTGATTTCTGAGGCTATTAATCCTTTCATTGCGGGAACCGGAAAAAACCGCAAAACGTTTGTACACCAAATACGCGGGAGACGGCTTTTCACGCACGTGTGCCCGGCGATCCCGTCTACGTATATTGATATGTCAAGATGCAACTAAACATGTCTCAACAGGATTTAACGATTGTGGATGCGGTTTTCATTTTATTCAATATTTCAGTATCCAAGTAGTAGCTGCATCAGTTGGTTGGTTTTTATTTGTTTCAAGTGAATTTAAACCACGATGGCTCGAAAATATCTCAATGACAAACTAAATTCTGCTTTGCGCCTTGTGATGTTCCATTGTGTATTATAAAATGTTTTGAAAGGTATCACACTGTCAATAGTATATTATGTAACAAGTGTTATAAACATCCTTTTAGTAACGAGTAGTTTAAGCACGAGCGGAGCGAGTGTCTAGAAGAGTTTATAAACGCGTTACATACTATGATTTTTCTACGAACTCCGAAAATTACATTAACATAGCTGCAATTCCTGCTAACCTACAAAATAATTCGAAAGGCATGGGAATTGAGAACATAATACATGCAACTGCATGCAGCCAGCGAGACACATATGAGTGATATTGGTTGTAGATGTATCCAGTCCATTGCTTACTGAACTTTGTTTCACGTTTATTGTCATGCTTGGCGCATAATAAATAAATCGTTCTCAAAGATGGATGCTTCATTTTTACACTTCTTGGAGATATGCAAGTACCAGAACATTTTCTTTGATTTCACTTTCGTCTACTTTTCGAATATATTTTGAATGGAGAATTCTGATACAAACGAATATTGTTTGAATAATTCTGATACAAAATTCGAAAATAACAGTTGACAGTTAATACAAATGACAGGCCACACATATGTCTCAAATTACTGAAGCTGTGTTTAATGAACTGCATTGCCATGGTAATGTGTTTAAGAAATCGTGTTGCCATGGTAACGGGTTCAATATTTTGAATAAATCACAGATCGACAATCCGTGATTAATCAATCATTTAGCATGGTACATATCCGTAAGCTAAATGCCATTTTAGTTATGTGAGTAGAAAAATGTTTATTTTTGAGGTTATTAACGAACAATTGTGGTATAGGCAACCAAACATACACCGCGTCATTTAAATGGATAATAAGTATATTATCCAATATTTTCTGTTTTTGATGTATCCAAGGAGCCAGAGACTTGGCCAGAAGGTTTAAAATGCTCTTTTTGGACCTGGCTAGGTGTTTGCAATGTTGCACATTATGATAGTGGAAATTGTACCAATCAGGTGCTTTTATGGTTACCATAAGGAATAAACACAAGTTTCCGGAAATTTTGTTCACATTTCAGATGATTTTACCACCTTCAACTGGATAATGAAAATATTCAGCTTTGTATCACTGCTTTCTTTTAATTATTTCACCAATTTATCTTTCAAAGGAATTGCAGCAACAGTGGAATTTTGAAAAATTCCTCTACTTCAAGGGTGTATCAACATTTTTTAGAGGGGTCAAAACTAAAAATATCTTACGGGAGAGGTCAAAAATGAAAGATCAAAATTTTAAACTTTCTTCTACTTCAGGAGCTCACATAATTTTTTCAAAGGTGTAGACATCATTTTAGGGTTCAAGAATAATAGAAAATCGGTATTTCTATATTTCTTCACTGCCGAAAATACATAAAAATCAAGACTCAAGAGGGGGGTGTAAGATAAAAGCTGAATTTTCAACTTCAACCTCTAACAGGGGAGTACAGAGATTGTTTTCAGGGGATGTATAAAAAACAACAATATGTGATTTTCAAGATTTCTCTCATTTTGTCTAATATCTGATGCTAAAGCCCAATTTTATAATTTTAATTCTTCCTCTTCAGAGGCATACCATTCTTTTTCAGAGAATCTGAAATAAAATTCAAATTTCCAATATTTTATTCCACCACAAGGGCGTACACAATTTTTTTAGTAGACAAAAAATAAGGAATCAGCTGAAAAAAAAAACTGAAAATCAGGACTCCCAGGAGTGTACCCAATTTTCTGAAGGAGTCTGAAATTCAAGTCAAAATCATGACTACAGGGGTGTTTAAATTTTTTTCTAAGGTAGTCACAATGAAAAAAAGTTCATGTTCAATATCATTTTAGTCTATACAAATACCAATAAACTGGGGCAACCTAGGAAAGGAAGGATACATTAAATGTAATGAAGACACTTTGAAAATAGCATTGAATAATCAGGTAACAAGTTTTCAAAAAAAAAATACCATTTTCAGTAGTTGATATAATTTATTCACACTTACCTGAATGTGCCATTAGTATAACCACCCTGTTTATTGGGTAGGCACCTAAAATTCCCAACCACCTGTATTCTATCACCAGGTTTGCAGCAATCCACCAAATCATTATCACAAATGATATCCACTGATCTAGGTAATTGTCCAGCAGGAGCTTTTTCTGGCATCTCTTGTATAGAAATAGTTTGATGATCTTTGTACATGGACAAACCAAATTCAGTTTCCAAAGGATTGCCATCATCATCCTAAAATTGAAGAAAATCAAATAAGTATACAGTTTTGTAAGATAGAAAACTTTAATTTCACACCTGAGTTGGATACACTGCAGAAGAAGGCACAGCTTCAAAGGAAGTAACATCTGTGTATTTCCTTTCCATTACTTTTTTAGTAGTAGGACAATAATGCACACTACGTACTACTTTGGGATTAACTAGAGAACCTACAAAACAACTGCTAGAAAAAATAACCTCACAAGAATCAAAGCCAACTTACATTTGGTGACTATACCTTCAACACAAATCAAATTGCCAAGATACCTAGAAGTTAAACTACGTGGGGTGACATGCTTGTTGCCAAAACTTCCCTCAAATGCAACAAAAAACTCTTCACTGTCTTTGGCAAAGTCCGAGGACACGGTCATAACGTATTCTTTGAGTGCAGTTTGGAAGGCTTTTTGCTCCTCAAAAGCTTTGGTGAGAAGCTGTTTGGCTCTGTTGGGGTTCTTCCTTCTCAAGTCATTGATGTTCACTATCAATCTGTGGGACTTATCGGCGATCATGTTTTTAACCAATTGGGAGTACTTTCCTTGATCAGCCTGGAAAAATCGAGTGTGAAAGAGCATTTTGCAAACACCATTGAATGAGTTGTTACTTCATCATCAAGGAAATCTAGGTATTCTCTGTGCATGTCTCGGGCACGGTCTACATCTGCGATATCCATCGTTGATGGAGAGCAGTTTTAACTGGCACTTGAAAATTATAAAACAAGAAAACTAAACTATTCAACAGAACACAGGCAACACGTAAAATAACAAATTTAAGTAAACATAACCTTAGTAGGCTTCGTATCATATTTTCGGCGCGAAAATATGACATATGATTTACGTCTTATCTTCTTCTTAAGGTGAGTTCCCAATGCAGCGTTTTCGCTTTACGCGTCATGCAACCTGACAACACAAGATTTTTTATGAAAATGTAGAAATTTTGAATGCAACTTCATTAAACCCTCATTTCAGAAAGTGATCTCATGATAAGTAAATCATTGCAGTATCCCTGAAGTAGGTACCCATCATATCATTTTCACTATGCTTTTTTCGTTTTTTGATGAAATACTTATTTGAGCAGCGAAGTAAGATATGGTGTAATCACTGATGCGCTTTTGTTTCAGAAATTTTACTCGACCTCTCGAGAACAGTGAGAGCAATGGTTCCGTCGATCTTCTAATAGATGGCGACATTGGCACAATTATGATATCTGTCAGTTTTGAAATTGTCGCAGATTTTTCGAATTCAGGAATAATCCCACTGTTTCATATGTTCCGCGTACCTAAAATGCCATTTGCCATTTTATTCCCACTCGTCACAGCAGAAACAAGGTTGGTAGAACTGATGACTATTTTGTATACAAATTATAATCAGTTCTACCAACCTTGAGCAGAAATAGCAGCATCACCATCTAGAGGGAAAATGTAGAATCAACGTCACGCTCGTTGTGACGTAGAGAAATCATAGTAGGCGGTCGAGTGATTTTTCTGAAATTTTCAATACGTAGTAATGGCCGAATGCGTGCACCATATCGTTGATTGATACATTACGCTTACCCAGCGTAAGCGTAATATATCAATCAACGACCATATCGTACTTCCATCATTATTTTCAGTATGCTCAGATATTCTCATGATTTTTGAATGGAAACTTCGCCCACGTCGACAAGGATAGGTAATTTCATTGGGAACTGAAGTAAATAATAAAAAACAGTGCAACAATTCTCTTTTACACGTCACCAATCATAGTGCGTGACGCAAAAAGCAAAAAAAAGCTGCATTGGGAACTCACCTTTACACTGTATCCTTCCGGAAAGAAAATTCTTCTTCTCATTTGTTGAAAATTCTTACTTACGTTTCCTACACATAGATGTCTCTGACATTCTACATAGTGTTCATTTTTACCCTATCAAGATTGGGTACTACTGATTTTTTTGAATAATATTCATTAATTTGGGATTTTTGGATGGGTTGAACAGAAATAAAAATCTCCATATTATATATTATTGTTGTTATTGATTCATTGCAGTTGTATTTCATAACCACAATTGGAAAATACCTTATGGTTTATGCTTTTTTCTTATTTATTTTTCTTATTTATAAATCTTTAGTCTGATGTACAATAAGGAATGTGCAGCATATGAACAAAAATCTCAACAAATCGAAGAGAAATGTACAATACATATATAGAAAATACAGTAGTAGAAAGTACTTTAAATCTTATAATCACAAAGCATTTTTTTTATTGACAGGAAAATTGGGCATAACAGAAATTCAGTTACCAGTTTTTTGGTAATGAGAGTTGGACCCACATAAGATAACATCACATCAATTACTAAGTGCATATGCATTGCACCATTTCTACTGTTTATACTAAAAAAATCACAATAAATATTTATCTAGAGTCTATAGATCATTGATTGTCAAGCCTTGAAACACTGATGCAAATAATATTTTTTTCAATGCTAGTTACACACACTTCAAATCATTTCCAGATGATTGTATGATAAGTTATTTTGATTATTTTTCTGGAAAATTTTGAATATCAGTTTACTTAATCAGACAGTTTAATTTTTGTAGATCTATCACAATCACCCCCTACCTAATTTATCTAAAATAAAAACGTATACAACATGATATTGAAATATTTTTATCTGTTTATTGAAAAATATTACCCTAATGAATTAAAGCTAAGTTTTAATTTCAAAATAACTGAAAGGTAGGTACATAATGGGGCAATATATTTTTCAGGTCATCTTGCACACTGAATGAGATTATCAGAAACATTCAAATATGAATCTTAATTGGAATAGAAATATAATCAACTTTATTTATAGTGAATAAAATTTCACAACTAAGGTAGCAACACAAGAATAGAGATTACCTGAGTTACCTTTGAGGAAAATTTCTCTCAGCATTCTCTTTCATTCAACAATCCAACAAATCACTGCATTCTTCCATACTCCCTTTCACCAAATTCAATTTAGCTGAAAAACCTTTGAAAATAATCAAGAAAAATTCAAAACAATTTTTTTTTCACAGCTGTGAATCTCTCCATATAAGCCTCATACCCTTCCAAATCTGACAGCTGTTTAGCCTCAAAAAGATTCCCATCCAGAGAAATATTAGAAATATTGGAATCTGCCAATATCCTAGTAGGTATAGCAGCCAGCTGCAAACAGTTCTCCTCTAACCTCAAAGTTTTCAACCTGGGACAATCTGCAATTTGTCCTGATATTTGAGCAATCTGATTCTGGTTCAAGTTGAGCTCAGTTATGTTGAGACCAGACACCTCTGCTGGGACTGCAGTGATCTCATTTTTGCTCAAATCCAGAACATCCAGATATTTCAGCCCACAGAAACTCAGTGGAAAGTCTTTGATATGGTTGTCACTAAGGTTCACTTGCTTCAAGTGGATGAGATTGGAAATGGTTCTTGGTAGGCCTAAGAGGTTGTTGTGGCTAGCATTGAAGGTTTCCAGTTTTGTTAGGGCTCCAATGCAGTCCGGTATTTTTGACAGGCGGTTCTTGCTTATGTTTAGGTGCTTGAGTTGCATGAACCTGCTTATTTCATTGGGCAAGACGACGAATTTATTATCAGATATGTCCAGGGTTCGAAGGCAAGACTCCAATTGCTTAAACCCAGGGGGAAATTCGTTTAGTTTCCCTTGGGAGACTTTCAGTACTCCCGTTTTTTGAGCAGTTTCAATGTGTTGCTTGAGACCTGCGTTGCCCATCGTAACTGTTGATGGTATTTTTCTACTTCAACTTATCACTTTATCATTACTGTCTCATTTCAGCAATCAACAGCTATAAAATATAGATAGTGAATGATAAGAGTTATTGCAACTGATAAGCGCATACCTTTTCTATCCGCATTGTTGATTCCGATGTTGTGCAGAAAACTCGGAAAAGTGAAAATTCTTCCTTATAAATCACTTTCTTCGATTTTGTTTTGACGTTTACTGTCAAAATGTCAAATTCATCAATGACTCATGACTCATTGACGTTTGGTGCTTTGCAAGAATGCCAAGTGTACAAAAATATGTGAAAATTCTGTTATTTGCTGAAAACATAGTTATTGTATTTTAAAATGCGTACGACATGGTTCATTGGTGAGTAATATTTTTCACATTCACTTGATAGTTATTCATTGAATACGCAAACGGATAAAATAGCTTATTCAAAAAATGCATTTTTGGGCGGGTAATGACCAAATCTATCAATCGAACAAAGCCATGACAATAAATTGGAATAAAAAAATGTGGATCGCACTTGACTCGAAAATCAAGATAAGATTATTAGGATAGAATTGGGTACAAATACTATACACTACAACAAATTCTGAGGTCAACGAATCTCAACGAGGGAGCGTACGTGACAAACACGATCCTGTTTCCAAGATAACCGTTGGTTCATTTTTTGCTGGCTTCATTCAAAATATTCCAACTAATGCCCTGGACCTGGAAATAGACTTAACTTTCGTCACTGTGGTCACCTCCGTATTTCGTTGGTCTCATTCAAAAAATGAATGAGGAATATGGGATATACGAATAATATTGCTACTGGAATTTGAACATTTGGCAACGTGCTAAATTCCACTTTGAATCGATCTTCATCTGTTCTGTTTTCTGTTATCTTGTTATAATAATTTAAGATGGCAGCACATCTCAGTTTTCTGTTTTACTTTTCCTCCTGAACTTTTCCACATTTTTCAATGGAAATGGAAAAATGGAGAGTACTGCCTTGGTTTTGAGGGAAAGCCCAGTGAAAGTGCGACCTAGCAACTATGTAATTCGGCACAGAACTGAAGTCAAACCGTTTTAATGGAGTAAACGAGGGAGTAAATGAGAATGTCATCCACTCCAAAATCAGGAAAATATGTCCAAGGTACCTATAACTATGCCCTTTTCTTTCAATGTTTCCTGTATATTGAATACTTGACGAACCATTTGAAGTAAATTCACAATTTTTAAGCCTAAAAGGAGACTACATTGTACATTTTGCTAATATCAGAGCCAACTGGGTCAACTTTATAGTTTTTTTTATCTTGGATCCTCGAAAAGTGATCCCTATATTCCTATTAGGTATGTTTATGAATTTATGAAATCTTGTTCGTGTCTGGGATAGGAAGAAAAGAGATTACATAGGTAAACCTACATGACAAAATACAAATTTCCCCAATTAAATTAAGACTGCCTATTTTTTGACAATGGCCATCATCTGGTATGATTGTTTACTAAATATGAAAAACTTGCCATAAAAACCATATTTCCTGTTGAATTTTCTGACATCATATGTATATACAGTGTTCAGTGACCAAAGAAGAAGAGCAAGTAGCTGTAAATGTTTCCAAAACAGGGGGGAAAGAAGGCGAAATTTCCACATTTTTCTTGAAATATCTCGATAAATAGTGGTTTGTTCACATTTTCATTATCGAATTCGCGTTTTTCAGATAAAAATATGTAGGCTATAAAAACATTTTTCAAAAAAAAACCCATCACATGATAAGTGCAAATAAATTACCATTTTTTTTGCTCTGTGAAGCCGATTGAAGGTAGGTATAAGCCTCGGTATGAGCTGTTATTGTTTTTTTTTTGAATTTTGCATTTATGAAGTCATAGATATGAAGTTAACGTTTGGTTTTGTTACTTGTTCTATGGGTCAAATAAATTTTGTTTAATTATAGTAACATACAATTTATTTCAAAAAATTGACCATGTTTCTCAACATAAAAGAGGTTTTTTCTCGAAAACGATAAATTTTAGAGCTTATGCCCGAGAGTACCTTTTTTGGCTCCAAACTGTACTTTTTCCAGTGGCGTAGAAGTTCGGGAGATGAGCACCCACTACCCTTTCAAAATCTTCACCAATTATAACTTGAAAAGAAAAAGAATCCTGCACAAAACATACAGCTTATTATGGGTAGGAAATGCTCACTAAAGATATTTTCTGTGCGACAAACGGTTCCAGAGATATTCTCAAAAAAACAGTTTTTTTTTTAATTTCAAACCCTGTATTTCGAAAATAGTGCATTTTAGAGAATAAGTTGATAAAAATTTTCCTTCAAATTTTTGGGCGAGCTGAAACATCCTGAAGTCATGCGCATATATTATGAAACACTCTGTATAATAACAAAACATCATAGTTCCACACATTATTTAATATACATCAAGATTGTACACATTCTGTTTGTCTTGTCAGTTGAGTTAAATCGGTATAATTAAACTGCCTTTTCAATTTGCCATGCCAAAACAGATGTTAAAATTGTTATGAACCTTCAAATCAAGATCTTTAATGTTTGAATGATTGCCAATCCACATGTTGCAGATTATATTGGATCTGTTATAATCGTTCTAGTTTCAGTTTCCCTAGTTCTCAGTTCGTTTTTTCCCGACAAAGTGAACTGTCGCTGAATTTTTCAAAAAAATTTCGAGAAGTTTTAGTCATTCCATTTCGTTGTATTCCCCGCTTAATTTCGATACTCTCTGTATAGTGAGAAGAACTAAGGTCGGTGATGTGAATTCCTCGAACAATAATCTCAATTTCCACTATGTCAAAAACCAATTTAAATATACTTACTTAGTGGGTGCTGGTGCAAAGTTCTAGGAAATTACTGGAATTGCTGTTTCCTTGAATGACAGAGGTTAAAAAGGTTAATTTTCGCGCGTGTAATGTCCCAAAATGATGAAATCGTCTACGAGCCTAACGACCGCAGAAGAAAATACAGGGTGTCAGGAAAAAGTCGAAGTTTGGATTATAGACATGCGAAACATTGGCTGGTTTTGTTATCTGTTTCCAAACTAGGAGACGTTCCAGGTAAATTGAAGAACAAAACCATTTTTTCTACTATAGCGTGCGAAAAGTCCACTTTTTCGCACTCATTTTAGTTTTCCGCATGTTCGTGATGAAAATAAAATACTGCCTAATTTAGTAGTGTACAATGTTTTCGATTTTTGCTTTATTACATTCTTTCCCATTCCAATACAAAATTTGTTGACCGAAAAAATAATGTGTTATATCATACAAAAAAGACTAGAAATTTCGCGTGTTTCATCTTTTTCATCACCATAATTTGTGGGAGAATCCACCAGGGGGAATTCTGTGTCCTGAAGGGACTACCTCAGGGTCGTATCCTAGTCCCAGCAGTGGGTTTCCATCTAAAAAAAAAATGACATTTTAAGAGCGAGTACCTATTATTATGATTTGTTCTACCCTATACAGGGTATCCCTAAAACGACCTTCTACTTCCAAATTTCATTCATTCTAGAGGATTCTAGTAATACCACAGTATAATTTTTTAAATGATAATAATATACTGTGGTAATACTAATTTTGGTGAAGTTTCCGTTTCATTACAGATATATACAGTGTGTCCCACTTACCATGCTCACCATGGGTATCTTTTTAACGGTGAGAGATACGAGGTCGGTTAAATGACACCAAATGTCGAGTTTGTCAAGGCCAACTATAATGTGAAAAAATATTTTGATAAAATCTATTCGTTTTTGTTTCATACGCAAAAAACAGATTTTCATCATTTTCATGTCTCCTCCGTAACTTCTTATATGCCTTCTAAAAACCCCCACTCAACAATTTTGAATGGAATCGGACCAAATCTTAAAAAAATGGCTGCTCCAAGATGGCGGGCAAGATTTGGTCCGATTCCATTTAAAATTGGTAAGTGGGGGTTTTTGAGGTCGGAGATCATGATTTTTTTGTTAAAATATATAAATTCAAGATGGTGGCTTCCAAATAATTCTTTGTTTTTGTATAAATGACCTTAACTCCGTTGTTATCAACACAAAACTATTACTGCGACATATCATCTGTAAGAGAAAAAAAAGTTTTTGTAACTAAGTCATAATGAGCTATGACCTACATTTGAAAAACTAAAGTTGGTGCTGATATCTCAAATTCTAGAAGAGTTGGTATAAATTTCATATCTTTTTCGAAATCACTTTGAAAAACTGCCATGAGAATGTGAAATTCCTATTTGAATATTTTCATAAATAAAGAAGTTACGGAGGAGAGATGAAAATGATCAAAATCTGTTTTTTGCGTATAAAACAAAAACGAATAGATTTTAACAAAATATTTTCTCACATTATAGTTGGCCTTGACAAACTCTACATTTGGTGTCATTTAACCGACCTCGTATCTCTCACCGATAAAAAGATACCCATGGTGAGCATGGTAAGTGGGACACACTGTATATCAAAATAAGTCATAAATCTTTCGTCACGAATAGGTTCTTGATGTTTGAGAACTTTTTTTCGTGTTTGATGTGGTTTGATACTGTGACACTGCATACAGGGTGGTTCAACAATAATTCATAGTAAGTCTATTTTTCGTTACGAATAGTTTGTTGATGCTCGAAAACTTTCTGTGTTTGATGAGGTTGACTCTGTGACACTGCATTCAGGGTGGTCAAAATATACCAAAATGAATTTTGGTCTCTCACCATTTCGCTTGAGAACTCTTTTTTTTTCGTGTTTGATGCGGTCAACTCTGTGACACTGTATACAGTGTGGTCAAAATAGGTCAAAATACTTTTTTTTGTGTTCAATGATTTTAACTCTGTGCATCTCTGTGACAGTATCTACAGGGTGCTTTTCGCTTGAGAACTTTTATTTTCGTGTTTGATGCGGTTAACTCTGTGGCACTGTATACAGGGTGGTCGAAATAGGTCAAAATACATTTTTCTGTCTTCAATGCTTTCAACGCTGTGATAGTATATATACATAGTGCTTTTTGCTTGAGAACTTTTTTTTTCGTGTTTGATGCGGTTGATTCTATGATACTGCATACAGGGTGGTCAAAATAGACCAAAATAAATTTTGGTCGCTCACCTTTTCGCTCGATAACTTTTTTTTCGTGTTTGATGCTGTTAACTCTGTGGCACTGTATACAGGGTGGTCAGAATAGGTCAAAATATATTTTTTTGTCTTCAATGCGTTCAACTCTGTGACAGTTTATACAGGGTGCTTTTCGATTGAGAACTCTTATTTTCGTGTTTGATGCGGTTAACTCTGTGACAATGTATACAGGGTGGTCAAAATAGGTCAAAATATATATTTTTTGTGTTCATTGCTTCTACCTCTGTGACAGTATCTACAGGGTGCTTTTCGCTTGAGAACCTTTTTTTTTCGTGTTTGATGTGGTTGATTACATGCACTATGCATACAGTATGATCAAAATATACCAAAATGAATTTTTGTCGCTCACCTTTTCGCTTGCGAACTGTTTGTTTCGTGTTTGATACTGTTAACTCTCTGGCACTGTATACAGGGTGGTCAAAATAGGTCTAAAGATATTTTTTTGTCTTCAATTGGGATATACAGAGTGCTTCTCGCTTGAAAACTTTTATTTTCGTGTTTGATGCTGTTAACTCTGTGACAATGTATACAGGGTGGTCAAAATAGGTCGAAATAATTTTTGTTCACTTACCTTTTCGCTTGCTGGATTTGAACTTGTACTCGTCGTTGGAACTCAATCCGGTGCCGGTGAGGGGGTTCCGCAGGGAGCTCGTCGGACGCTTCATGTCGTTGTAGCTGTCTCTGTCTCGCAATTTGTCCCTCGAGACGGTGGACAATTTGTCCGCGGGTGGCTCGGACAGTTGTCCACCGATAGGGACTGTTTCACGCTTGCGCGACACCTAACACGAACGAAGAAAAAAAAAACAATACTGGGTGACAACGAAATCATTGGCCAGGTGGTCATTCAGTTTTTTTTCATAGTAGACTTTCCAAATTTTGATATACAGGGTCCCTAAAACTCCTAAAAGGTCTGTGCAAAATCTCAACACATACAGGGTGTCCCACTAAGGTCGGCGCGGTGCGATATTATGGAAATCATAAACCTTACAGCTTCGGGAAAAAAATCTATCAATCAAATCACCGATGAAGAATTGGTTAAAAATATTTACAAGTTATCAAAATGACCGGTAGGGGCAAAGTTACTATGATACAAAGAGAAATTCGAATTATCTCAGGAACTCGCTGTGTAACGTAACTTTTTGATGAAGAAAATAAAAATATCATTAATTTATCGTTGTTTTCGTGTCTGGACTTTTTTTCGTATCTTTAATGATACTGGTGGGGGAAGCTTGTGAACAAAATATTTTTCAAAATGCTGAATCTTCGATACCCCTTATCCAAATTTAATCAATTTGGTTTCGTTTGAAAGATAATTTCACACTTAATCAAAAAATGACTTTGTTTACGGTCGCTAGTTTAGTTCATGGGGACTTTATTTCTTATTGTTGTAGTGTCCTCTTTTCTATGTCACCCTGTATATTTTGGGAGCAAAGGTTCATTTCCTCCCATGTGTGTTTAATGGCCTCCGCTACGCGTCGGACTTCAAACTTCACATGCGGAAGGAAATTGATACCTCTGCTACGTTGATATACAGGGTATGTCATGACGAGCTTACACTATTTTTATATCAAGAATCAGTCGGGAGAAGTGCATGAAATTGTGCACGCTTATATTTTAGAATACGCTCTCTTCATTTAAAATATTTTCAGCAATGCAGTGTTGCCGCTTCTATCGAAAAGTAGCAACAACTTTGTTATTTCAAATAGAATACCCTGTATTTTATTGCATTTTTAGATTCTCCCTGAAGAGATGATTTCATCGATACATCACACTTGGGGTCTATCGGAAATGATTACAGAGATATAGGGTGTTCAAAATCGAGATTTTTTCAACTTTAGGATTTTTTTGTGTCGAAACTATTAATTATCGGCCAATACGGCTCACATGTCCCTATCTCAACTTTTGATTCACTTTTCACCATTATTTGATCGGGACAGCAAGATTCAGAATTTTGATCACCCTGTATCTGTTGAAATTTCAATTGTCGTTTTCTCCATCAAATCAAATTTAAAATACGAAGTGTGAAACATCGTTGGAACGGTAATTTTGAGTAGAAATAAAAAATTGCAAGAAATATACAGGGTGCTATTTGAAATTGAAAAGTTGGAGTCACTTCCGGTTTTGTTTTACTCAGTTGAAGCTTCCTTGAACGAATTTTAGATCATGGAATTTTCGAATTTTTAGTTTTCGAAATGGCTGAGATAATTCATTGGAACAGGTATACTGGGACACCCGGTATATCAGTAAATAGTAAATCAAAAGTTGAGGTAGGGATATTGAACACCCTATATCTCTGTAATCTTTTTCGATCGACCCCAAGTGTGATGTATCGATGAAATCAGCTCTTCAGGGAAAATCTGAAAATGCGATAAAATACAGGGTGTTCTATTTGAAATATCAATATTGCTACTACTTTCTAGTAGAAGCGGCAACACTGCATTGTCGAAAATATTCTGAATGATTCTTGATAAAAAGTTAGTGTAAGCTCGTAGTGAAATAGCTATTCTCTTTCCAAAAAGTAGTCGACAGATTTTCATCGGATTGTTTCCTTGGGGTGATTCTTACCTTTCTGGATGGTGACCCGTTGATCGAAAAAATAGAAGAAGAAACGCTCGTCTGCTCCTTCAACGAAAAAATATCGCTCTGATTTCTGAGCAATCGGTCATTGTGATTTGGTTCGCCGCCCCTGGGTTTTTTGTCCAGGGAAGTAGGTGTAGGGAGGTCCAAGTTCGTCGGGGGTAGTTTTTCGCTGGATTGGGTGGTTTTCGATGGGGTATCTTTAGCGGTCGGTTCTGATGGATGCTTTTTCGGCTCGTCACTCTGAAAACCACAATTGAAAATTTGGAAAATTTCACCGAAAATTCTTACCAGATGAAAAATAGGTTAACTTAATGTCGCAGAATAAGAAACAAATAGCAACTCCATTAATTTCAATGGTGCATTCTATAGTGAATGTTTGTGAAATTAGGGGCGATAAATGGAAGGGATGATAGAAGACGAAGAAACAAAGCGAAATGAAAGAATACATGTTTGTCATGAAAAAAATGTTTGGAAGATATTGAGCTTCAAAGTTTGCCTTCGGCGAGATCACAAGCACCAGAAGTATCAATGACTTTCGCAATGTGGCCGGACGGTCAATAATAGTGGCTCCGACGGAATTCCACCGATTGTTCTCAAGAAATGTGCTCCTGAACTAACACCTCTTCTCTGCAGGTTGTTCAACTACTCTTACAAATTGGGGATATTCCTGTCCAACTGGAAAATTGCGAGAGTACAACCAGTTCCTAAAAAATGCGCAAAAAGACCCTACCTAGCCACTACAAACCGATCGCACTGCTATCTATTATTTCAAAGATCATGGAGAAAGCTATCAATATCGAGCTCATGAAATACCTGGAACATTCAGGTATTATCAACGATAAGCAATATGGCTTCCGTCATCAGAGATCAACTGGTGATCTGCTCGCTTACGTCTCACATATATGGCAGCAATCTATTGAAAAATATGGTGAAACCTTAGCCGTGGCACTTGATATCTCCAAAGCATTCGATCGAGTCTGGCACCACGGACGGAAGCTTCAATCTTATAGCTTGCCTCCCCAGCTATGTTCTCTGCTAGCTAGTTTCTCTCAAACAGGTCTTTCCATGTAGTGGTCGACGGAGTTTCATCTGACTCTCTTATCATGAATGCTGGTGTTCCGCAAGGATCAATTCTAGCACCAACACTATTTCTACTCCATATCTACGATTTGTTGGAAGCAACTTCATGTCCAGTACACAGCTTCGCGGATGATAGTACCCTCCATACCGCCTTCTCTTCCAGGGCTCCGATACCAGCCACGCAAAAGAGGAACGAACGGGGAAGAAATGTTGACAACATAAATATGGACTTGGCAACAATTCTCGAATGGGGATCCAATAACTTGGTAGATTTCAATGCAAACAAAACACAAGCATGCCTCTTCTCTAGAAAAGCCGATCTCACTGTGCCCAACATAAGCTTGTCAGGAGTAACCATACTTTTGAAGACATACATTTCGATGCTTGGTATTACTATCAGCAATAACCTTCCTTGGGAAAAACACGTGAGATCAATTGCTAAAAGTGTATTCCAAAAACTTCGTTTTCTATTTCGGGCCAGGAGCTATTTCAACTCCAGTCAGCTGCTTATGATCTATAAGGCACAGATCCGACCTGTCATGGAATACTGGTCCCATATTTAGAGTGAAGCACCCAAAATACCCTGAAACTGTTGAATTCGGTCCAAAAAAGGGCAATTCGTCTTGTGGGCGATGCCTCGCTCACAAACTCACTCGCTTCTCTGGAACACCGTAGAAAATTTGGCGATCTGGCTCTATTTTATAGATATTTTCATGGACGATGCTCTTCTGAAATATCAACAATTGTTCCTCCCTTGGCAGTCCCCGCGAGATTAACCCGTCGAGTTAAGGCTTCGCACCCCTTCGTGGTCACTTTGGAGACCTGCAGAACATCTCTTTCCAAAGACTCGTTCATCCAACGAACAGCGAGGCTCTGGAATTGCCAAGGGAGGTGTTCTCCGAGGCATATAACCTCCAGAAATTCAAGAAGAACACCAATTCCTACCTTATTTCCCTTGGTTCTCACGATGTTCTCTAAACATTACAGAATATCCCTTTTCGTGGGAACCAGAACATAAAACAAAACGAGATGGGCCCTAAAACAGATCCCTGTGGAACACCTTTACTTATTAGAAGTATATTAAACTCTGGCTTATTACATTTAGTGCTGATTGTTCAATTCGCAAGATCAGATTCTAAAAGATTTCTAATAATGCCTCTTGAGTCTCATCGAATCCAAGTATTTGAAGAGATTCTTATGGTCAACTGTATTAAATGCCTTTTTGAGGTCAACGGAAATAGAACACCTCACTTTATTCATTTCTCTGTATACAGGGTGTTTCATAATCGAATGCTGATGCTGAAGGGTTCATAATCCTTGGGTGGTTTTAGGAAAAATTCTCATATGAATATAGGTCCGCAACTGCTTTGTTTCTAAGATACAGGATCTTGAAGTTTTACTAAAGCAAAACAGTATTATCTCGATATCCCTAAAACCGCTCTTTTCAGTTTCAGTACATGCACAGTAGGCATAAATATACCAAAATTTTTTTTAATAATAGAGGTTTTCTTAATTTTAATCAATGGTATCCCTGTGTATGTTCCGATAGAAATACAAGCACTAGGTAGATTACTAGGGAAAATCTAACCTTTTCTTCTTCTGAAGCTTCCAATGTTCCTTTCGATTCTCGTACGTTTACCTCCGACTCCACAGTTTCGTGGATTTTTTCGAACTCTTCTTCAGACGTCAGAGGGGTCGCTGAAGATATGGCGATATTTTCTGACGGTTTGGCAGGTCGTAGTGCATTCGTTATGGATTCCTTTGAGTTTTTTTCGCTCTCCTCGGTCACAGAATTACTAGTGTCTCCCATTACTGTGAAATAAATAATAGTTATTTGTTTAACTAGGCAGCAAAGTAGTAGATTGACTGCCGTGGCTGAATTCATAGCCGAGCATAGCGAGGCTAGGAATCAGCTAAGGCAGTCAATCTACATTGCTGCCGAGTTGAACATATAATTTTTTCTCCGATTGTTCATAATGATATGGGAGAATATTGTATTTGCGAATTATTACAATTCCCACAATCTCTTTATTCTTCCTGTATAGTGTTCAATTAAAATAAAATTCGATAGAAATCGCAGTTGTTGGTTTGACAATTCATGAAATTTCTGACAGTTGTGCGAAAAAATCGGTATATTTGAATTATTACATAATGGACAGTGATAGCGACCTGGAAGTATACTTACACCTCCATTAATAAGGGAGGTGGCAAAAAATATAGAGTTGAATTTGTTGCCGGAGAAGTCTCGGATGGAATATGAAGCAAATTATAAACGATTTATGGATTTTCAATTTGGCTGATACATATCAATCAGCAAAGTACCCACTTTGCTGCCTAGGCAGGAAAAGTAATACTTTGCTGATCGATATGTGTCAGCAAAATTAATATTTGCTGCCAATCGGAGGAAAACATTTTTTTATGGTCGACCTCTACAAAATATCACATTTCACGTTTTAACAAAAAACCGACTCTTTCCGAATGTTTTTCGAAATGCGTCAATTGCATTTGAAAATAGTCATTTCAAGTTCGAAAAATTCCATTTCAATTTCAAAATAAATCATTTTAATTTCAAAACTAATAATTTTCATTGATGATTACACAATGACAGGAATCAAAACCGACCGAACTAACCTTTGATACCTGTGCTTTTAGTGTTTTGAAATTCAAATGATGCATTAGGAAATACATTTAATATTTTTGGAAATACAAATGACTATTTTGGGATTTGTTAGTTTTTTATGTTGAAAACGGGAGCAGATTCGTTCCCGAAACGTCCAAAGAGCTAAGTGAAAATTTGATATTTTTTCTATATACCTTTATTTCTCTTCTCCAAACCTTTTTCAATACAAATTGTTACTGACAAGCTGGTGAATTTTTCTTTTAGGCTCTCTGATAGGTAAATTCTTTAAACGCAGTGACATTTTGGGGCAAATCATCTGATTTATCCTTACTACACGTATATTGAAATAATATTCATATTTATATTTTATAGAAACGAGGAGAGAAAATCCCAAAAAGTCTGGAATAATGAATTTCTTGATTATATACGGGGCGACCTAGAATTCCTATCCTCTGGATTGAATTATTTTCTTCGCAAGTTAGTAATAGTGCGTTTTCCACCGTTTTTTTCTCATTGTCAGATCACCTACAATTCTATTTGTGGCCTAGACATTTCCGTAAACACTATTCTTGTCTACCTAGCTATTAATAAACTTTTCAAATCATCACAGACTTTCGTGTTAGAGTCGTTAGCCTAGTCATATATTAATTTGCCTAAGAAAATCATTGATGTTGTGAGAAGTGCATAGTGGGTGGGGTTGAATGTAAATTTATGTCACATCACTAATATATATACACCTATATTTGTTGTTGTTGTTTGTTTAGGTATTCGGTTATCCAGTTTCCTTCAATTTTTTTACCAGCGTGAATCAGAATTACTTTAGCGTATGTTCATGCTTGTACGAATTCCGCAAAATTTATGCGAATCGTAAAATATGAAATTTTCGACAGAATTTGACGTTCATACTATTTATATCGAACTTTCGATTTTGCTTATAATTTATACCGGGTGACACAGGGTATCGGGCCACCCCTGTAACTTCTGCTTTCGTCATCGGATTTTTCTGAAATTCGGTACAGTTATATAAGCAATTATTTTGGATTTGATCACATTACAATCCAATATGGCGGACTTCCGGTATTTCTGGAAATGCCAGCAACTTTGTTTTTTCAAATGAAACACCCTGTATATTTTTACATATTCAAGTTCAACAGGTCGAAACAAGTGCAAACTTTATTTCAAATGTCATTTTTTCGAAAAAAATTAAATTGAAATTGTTTTTTCATTTTACCTCGTGGATAAATGAGATGTGGTCAAGACTATTCACAATGAGTCACACATAACAGAAGAACATAATTTTTACTGAAAAAATATTTTTTGTGTCACTTATCCAGGAATCAATTCAGCCACATCACATTTTGATCAAAAATTATTTTTTTTCAAATGGAACCCCTATGGGCCACCTACCCGTTTCTCTACAACATACATTGAGGAACAAAATGAAATATCATTTTTGTTTTTCGGTGCAGTAACAAATTTTATACATTCAAAAATCAACAACTAGTTTATGAATTTCCTTGCCGTTAGAATAATTTTTCAACTAGGTAGGCTGTGGAATAAATGACATTTGACATCAAGATTGCACTTGTTTTGACCTGTTGAACTTGAATATGTAAAAATATACAGGGTGTTCCATTTGAAAAAACAAAATTGCTGGCATTTCCAGAAAAACCGGAAGTCCGCCATATTGGATTGTAATGTAATCAAATCCGAAATAGTTGCTTATATAACTGTACCGAATTTCAGAAAAATCCGTTGACGAATGCAGAAGTTACAGGGGTGGCCCGATAGTCTGTGTCACCCGGTATAAAAAATTTATTCGTTCGAAAATAATTACTTCGCAACGCACAAAGTTCACAAATAAAAGTAAGACTCACATTTTCAATGTCTTAGCCCAATGGAAATCAACATGTTCTTTCATTTCCAGGCCTGTAGATCTTTTTCAAATCAGTGGATGGGGTATCTGTTTAGATGTTAGTGGTCATCGATTCAAATAATTCAAGATAGTCGAACAGATAATAAAGGATTATTCACGATTATTTTTCAAAAAGTATACTGACAAAGGCGGATAATTATTTTTTGAAAATTTCTGTGAAAGAGAGAATTTTGAATATTTTATTTTTGATGCTTGTTTGTGTGCTTCGACAATTCCCTGTCACAGTTTAGAAAAATCATATTTTATACAGGATGAACTATCGAAATTTTTCCCGATTCTGGAAATGTCAGTCGAGATTAGAGTTTAGTAGAATATTCCATGAAGAAATCAGATGAATCGAAGGAACTGTTGAAAAGTTATGCCCAAAAGATTTTTTTTGGCCAAATCTCATAATTCACCCTATATATTGGTAAAGATGGGAAGAAGACACTTTCTGATGGTCAGTAGATATTCTCCTCAAGGGGAGGAGTATGTACAGTTCCTCATGACTCACCCTGTATTAAATCAGTTCCTTCCTTCGGCAAATTGTGTGGTGCACCAATTTTTTTAAATAATTGTGAAATATTTACAAAAGTTGAGCTATTCTAGGAAATAATACATATCTCTATTGATCTCTGAAGTCTAAATATTGATTTTGCGACCAAAATAAATGTCGTAGCTCTTCCTTCAGACAGCATTCTCCGAATTTCCAGGAAGTATATGATTTCTTTAATGATTTATATAATATTTGAAAATTCGGAATCCTATCTATTTCAATTCATATTATTTATTTATCATAATAGGCACTCACTTATTGAAAGAAGGCTCTTTTATCGGCTAAATTTTGGCTTCGTTTTCTACTTAGATTTATTTGATATTCAGACATGTAAAATTATTTCATAACTGTCAAACAACTCTCAATGCACCGCACGCCATTGTTTCTCTTTGACATATCGACAGGGCGTGATAAAGGACCCCGCACATTTAGTACGGAAAATGGCTTTCGGCGAATTTTTCAGAAAATTTGATATTTTCCAGATATTAGCGTCCTTATTAAACAGTCCAATTTACAGATCGATCCTATGACCAGTTTTCGAGCTACAGGGTGTCATTCATTTCAGTTCAGCTCTTCAGCAGAAATAAACGCTCTACGTCCAATTTCTACCTATTCGAATAGATAATAATATCATATACAGGGTATTGTATTCCATCATGACAAGGTAATATTCATGGAAATAGACAAATATTGAAATTATCGGAATTTCGATTTTTACTCAATCACTGAAAACTTGAAAACAAACGGCTGGAATCGACCAGTTATTTGATACACTATGGTTCTTGATCATCAACTCCTCATATGATTTCCTCTGATACATTTGTCCGGTTTGCCATACATAGGGTGATGACAATTTGAAAGCTTAGAATTGATGTAACTCATGTAAAAAATGAGATACATATCACGAATGGTTCATAACTGTTTATATTATATACAGGGTGTTTCAGTTTTTTGTAGCAGGACTTTAACAGCTTGAAGAAGACATTTTTTTGAGATGAAAATCTCATACAAACATATATGCGTGGAAGCTTCGTTTCCGATTTACAGGGTGTCAAAGTTTCAGATTTTTTTTATGTTTTTTTAATTTTCTCCTACAATTTTCGGAATAATTGATTGACATTTGGTACACCTAATACACTTCAAAAACTTAATATTTGAGGCTATAGAGTGTTTTTGAATATCTACAGGGTGATAGACTTTCAGGGGTCGTACCCAATTTAACCCTGTAGAACTTTTTTGCGTGCCGTCTCTGCTTTCAATGGGACATAGATTCAGATTGTCTCTGCAATTTGGAAACTTTTTGCCCCCATGTATGTTTTTCGAAAACAATATGGATTTCGAGATAAATAAATGTGGAATCCGAACCACTTCTAAGGGTACCTACTGATAAAATTAGAACTGCCGTTCACGAGATTAAATTATTGAAACTCACATACATTCCCTGATATCGAAATTTTAACCAGTTTCAGTTATACAGGGTGTCCTACAATACATTTTCAGATTTTGCAATCCAGTTAGAGACGTTTTTTTTTTTAATAAAAACATTATTTCTTTGTTTTTCCTGGTTTTAATTATAATGGTGTTCAAAAAATTCAATCTAATTTTGCAACTGAATTTCATTCGGTATGGAAGCTTTCGGTCATTCTATTTTCCAATAAAATGTTTGAGAAATGTCAAATAAGTGTGTTTGAGAAATAACGGTTTTATTACAAGTAATTT